CCCCCCCCCCCTCCCCGGGGAATGTTTAAATCGGATAACTGCAAAATCTTTTTTGAGATCAGTGTGTAGAAAATAATGTCGCAATGGCGGACCAATGAGTGGGATGGAGAGGATTGCGCGAATTCCGCGGTTGCAAAGCGATTTATGGGAAACGAACGCGGGCTATAAAATAACACTTCCCATTCAAATCGGCAAATTAATGGTCGCTTTCGCGAATTCTTTGTTTGGGCAGCGCGACAATGGCGGCGCTTGTTGAGTTATTATCCTGAAATACTACAAAATTTTAGGAACGCCAGTTTTTTGCAAATTTTCATTAATTTCAACAGATAATTTTCTAACCGCGATTTCTGCCATTCAGAGATCCGCCGACAGATTCTACGTTGCTACGTCCAAAATTGGATTGATGTTATACTTTTAGAGTATCTGGCCCCAGGAGTAGTAAAGATTGATCAGCTTGCCTAGGCTTCGAAACTATTATCTAGTTTAGATACTTAAGTCCGCGCGCGGAAAGTTACTCCCCGCGAGCTTTAATCTCTCTAAGCACGAGGTGATTATAAAGTTTCTTATTAAGTTCCCGTGTAGCACCACCACCACCACACGCGTACTCGAGCCGCCATTGCAATACACGGGTGAAAAACTTTGCCAGTACTTCAGCTATATGTAACTCTCAACAAGGAGAAGAAAATGCGAAAGTGCTCGCCATAGTATTAGAACATGTTTCCTACTCTACGTAAAATTATATAGGAGAAAGAAGAGGGCACATTTACATACATTTAAAACGCTGAAACAGGTTTGGACAGTTTAAATATCGTTTCTCATAATATTAAAGTTCTCTTTATATTATTTTGTGTTTTATTTCAGTTTAATATCTATTTTGTAATTATTTTCATTTTTCATCGTATTTTATTTAATCCTTTGAGAACAGAAGCTTTCTAACAAAGAAACTTAAGGAAGACCTCATTTTCTAAGGGCTTTCGAAGTTGTTAAATTTGATTTTGGTCTCAGAATTCTAAAATTAAAATTTCAAAAAAGTAATGTGATCATCATGAAACTCGGTTTTAGAAAGTTCGTGATATTGCTGAATTTGAATGTAGCCTGAAAATATCAAATTTCAAAGGAGTATATATATATATGTATATATAGTACTCTATAATGAAGGAGGATTTAATGTCACAGGGTTCATAATCAGAGTTTGCAAGTTAGTTTGAAAATTAGTATTAACTGTTTGTGTTGCTTTGAATAAAGTGAAATTGAAAACGTGATGTTTTCTTGCAACTAAAGAGTCTTTAAATGAGTTTACGATATAATCAGATTATTTTTTCAATACATTCTTCTCGCTCCATATTGGATTTATCATTTAAATTTTTTAAATTTTCAACCTCAGATGCGAATAAAGTATTATCAAATTACTTCATAGGCCAAGTTTCATGAAAATCGAACGAACAGTTTTAATATAAATGAAAGTACGTCGAAACGGTCATGCCAATAATCGATAAAGGATTAATTTAAACTTGTACATATTTTATCTTGTCTAATCCATTTTACTTTTGGATCTCACAAACTATAGGTTATTAAAATATATAATGTTAAATTCTCACGTTACGCGCGCGCGCGATCTCAAATCTCTCTATATATTAAAAAATTTTTTTTTTAAATTTATTATTATCTGTAATCTATATTCTTTGACTCTTTTATAGTAAATGGAATATTATAATCACATCTTCTATAAAAAAAAAAGAAAGAAATTACAACATGTAATGTATGCATCATGTGCATTAATGTGCTCATTCTATATACATGCTCTGTTTCGTATTTATTCGACATTAAAGAGACTCGTGTAAGCTTGATATGCTATGCGGGGATTAATACATTTGTGGAAAATATGGCGAAAGCTTTCGTCGTCAAGGAACGTCGATGAAAGGTAGACGATGAATCGACGTGGATTTCTTCGACTACGTTATGCAGAAGAAACGAGAAAAGAACTACACACAAAGGAGGCTCGCCATCTTTGAGCCTCTTTTCGAGGGATTGCAAGATAATTGGCTGATTTAAGGAGATCACATTCAGGGGATTCGTGCCGTGGTAAGAAAAGCGCGTATTCTTCCTACGGCGAGGTAACTTTCGTTAGAAAATGCACGCGATTATCTCATATTATCAGCCATTGAACGAAATTAATTGTAAAAAAAATTAAATCTAATGTAAATCTCTATGAATATTAAAATTTAATTTAAAAGAAGATATACTCTCAGAAAACAAAGCCTACTTTTACAGACTTTTTTTTACGAAAGCTATTAATTTTACTCAAACAGAGTTTTAACCAATATTTTATGCGTAATAATTAATATGTTACATATATACTGTTTGAAATTAATAGTTTTTGCAAAAAAAAAATCATAAAATAGGTTTCTTTTAAACCCGCTGGGTGTATGTGTGTGTGTGTGTGTGTATATATATATATATATCTCTAATAAAAAATCTTTAAATCCTTAAATCTAAAGTTTTCATTTTATCTTAATCCATAGAGAAGAAAAGTTGTATATTAATTCTCAATGTAATATCTTTGCTTCCACATATACAAGTGCAAATATAACGCTTGGACAATGGCACTTTACGTAAAACGAGTATGATCGCGTTTAAAAAGGCAATTATATTTCACATTCTCGAATTACATCGATTCGTGGGAAAGAAGATCGTTAACTTCCGCCGAAAGTGGTGATGATATCACCGCTTTCACGGTCACAAAGCGTGAACATGGCGCTTGGACGCGACACTTTGCGCAAAATGGATGTTCATCACGTATTGTAATTGGACGGAAGTAGCATTTTACTGATGCGTTTGCTGAAGGCGCATGAGATGCAAAAACGGGGTCGGTGCACTGCAACTTGACTCAATAGCAAACGTCCCACGTAACTATTGTGTTAATTACAAGTTTACAGGCGAAATAAAAAGAGATCGTTATATAGCGTGATACGATTTATACAGGTAAATTGGATATCTGGAAAATAAACTGCGTCCAATGCGGGATTATCTGTCCATGGATGGACGCGTTTATCGAATCCCTTTCCGCGGAAAATTGTGTACTGATAATAGAACTTTATCCTTCAAATCCTTTTGCGTTTGATTTCCGTTCGAATTGAAATGTAATCTACAGCTTGATTACTAGTTAGATACTTATCAATAGGTATTGGTTCAAAGCAAATGAATTCTAGTGTATTCCATGTTTCTGTTTAATTTTTTATAATAATTTTTTTTATAATTTGCGATTAACGAAGATGTTTTTTTTTTTTTATCGAAACAACACAAAATATGGAATAGAACAGAAATTTTATGCGCAATTGTAATATTGCGCAGTTAAAATTTCATTATATTCTCCAAAATGATACATACATTTTGCAGGGTAAATATTTTTCTAAAGTTAGACTTCATTGATTTGTATTTTTAAATGATTGTCTGATTTTAGATATACTATTATTTAATTTTTAATTGTTTCAATTATTAATTGCATTTATTTCGAATTTATTTTTCTTCGCTTCAAATCAAGAGATGTTTTTATCGAAACGTCATAAGGAATAGAATAAATTAGCACTGCAAATTTAAATTGTAATATGCTGTTAAAATTTTTATTATAAATAACAATAAATAAAGGGCAAAGTAAAAGTCAACACATTTCTTTAAAAAAGTCATACAATTAAAAGAATAAAATACAAATAAAGAAAAGTAAAGTTGAAGAAAATATATAATAAAAAATAATAAAAATTAAATAAAAAATAATTAAAAACTCAGTTACAAGTTTCTCTTCAGACGTTAATCATATCGAGAAAAAAAAACGGTAGTTTTTATTATATTTTCTAAAATTGTAGATTTTGCAGCGCAATATGTATTTTTCTGAAATTAGATTTTACTGATTTGTATTCCTAAATAACTATCTAATTTTAGGTATTTTTTATTAAATGAATGATCTCGTTTATTTTGCATCTCAAGTAGCACAGCAGCTCTTGGAAAGCACTAAAAAAGCGACTATATGCGCTTTTTTAGCGCTTTGTTAACGCTTTGTTAGCGCTGTGTGCTACTTGGGATCATTTCCTTTTGCTTCACCGTGAAAAAAGGAAAACAGAAAATTTACCTTGAACAGGCGCATAAATGTTGAGGTATAGGCAATCCTCGCTTTGGTTCTTGAGGTAGGGCAGCAGCCGCCTGAGGTATTCTACTCTGCCCTTGGGCATCTTGTCACTGAGCTCCGGTAGCTTTTGAGGACAAACGGGTCCAAATTTATCAGCGATCTTAACGCCCTGCCAAAGGGCACCGGTGACGGGCGGCATGAAACGTAATGAGCCAATCGGTGGCGAGGCATAAGGTACGCCGCGGAATACCTCGACACCTTCGAGATATCGATCAAGGGTAACGATCACCCCCGATAGCTCGCCGTACTTAGTTCTGACGATCCTCGAACTTAGCTCGGCACCGGCGGTCGCCAGGATCAAGCCGAGCAGCGCCAGGATCGACAACGTCATTTTGACGCGATCACCGACGTTTTCGGCGTCACCTCCTGCTTCGGCGTCACCTCCGCCGATCACTTTCTCGCCGTTCCGACGCCTCTCATATCGCCTTCCTCGTCTTACACTGCGACAATTTCCTCTTTAACCGTCGCCAGAGATGAGGATGTACGCGAACTGATCCATTTTGCGATTCTCCGAATTCTCTTGTTCACCTCCTGGATGCATCAGTCTTCTTCAAAGTGAAGGACAGTTCGATGACTGTTAGACTTTATTTTGCTCAATCAATATACTTAAGACGTGCTCGACCAATGATAAAAGTTAGTAAAGTTTGTTGCTATCTTACAATTGCTCTTTAATTCAGTCTACAAGTGGTCTTGATTTTGTTTGGTACTTAAAAAAAAAAACTATTGCCTTTAAATAGATATATTCCTGAGCTTAAACGCCGTGTATAGAAAACTCTGATGGGAATGGATTTTCCATAATTTCTTCCGATTTGATGAAAGATTGCGACTATCTTGGACTACATTTTTTTAATTTAAACGAATTAGGAACAGAAATGATTGCGAGTCGTCTTTGACTATCTACGTTGACACAATTGACCTAGGGAAGACTGCAGATTTAAGATTGAGAAACATCCTGAGTTAAATCTTCCTAGGAGAGTCGCAGAGATTGTATTTGTTCTGTATATTAAATTTTTTCAGTCGTTTATCCAGTTAGATATTTAACGTTCAGATATTCCGTTGGTGCAGCGACGAAGACCAGCGCATCCTCCTTACAAACATTGTTATCCTTTAGACTTAATTATTATCGGCTTTACGCTATCAAGTTGCAAGTTCTAACAATCTCCGGATTCACTCCGTCTCGTCTTGCTAGTTCACTGACCGATAGAGATTTTGTTACATGTAAGAAAATTTATCGTCATAAATTTACCATTAGACAACGTGAAAACAACGTGTGAACTACACTGTTAGAAGAAATAACTTTACACTTTTCCATATACACTTTTCCGATAGACTGTAGCGTCTAGATTAAAACTTCCGGTTAAAAACAGGATCAACATCCACGAAAGTATCCTCGTTCTTTTTTTTTTTTTTTTACGATTTCTTCACTCACATCTGCTGACGTAAAAGAGATTCATACGTGTCTTATCGTTCACACAAAGACGATCTCGTTCTTGATGACGTGCTTTATGTATCGAAAGAGATAGAATGCACCAGCTCTAATCACGTTCAAGAGCAGGCCGCCCTTCGAATATTTATTCACTCGTTTCATCTCGGTAAGAAAAAGGAGAAGAATACAAGATATTTCGTAATCTTTCATTTAATATTTCTTTGGACGGATCGAAGATAACGAGAATCGCACCTGGCTCTCATCTCGTAGTTTATTGAACTATTCCCTCGATTGAATGAAATCGAGCATTCATTAATGTAATTTTTCGGCAAATAATCTTTTCTCCGGAGCTAATTGAAAAAACATACGCTACGAATGAAGAAACGGACATTGATCCAGTTTTCAATTATTGAAGAAAATAAAATATAGCACGGAATTAGTATTTGAATTAAAGAATTTTAAATTTCTTTCGCAACCGCGCGACAAATGTAGAATAGAAAATTCATTAGTCGCCCCGGATTGTTTGACGTTTACAGAGATATGCACAAAAACGTGCACGCGCACTGTAGTTGTGATAGACGCATTCAGGAAGCTTTGTTCGTTGCGTTCAAGAAGTACGTCACACTTTTATATTTAAACCTTTCAATATTCCTTCAGCATAAAATACACATCTTCCCACGGATGCTATTCTTGCCGAGTCAACTTAGCTTCAATTTACAGTTAACCTAGTTAGATTAAAATCGCACTACTAATCAACGGCTAATTTCCCACAGGTTTTCAGATAGACACTTACAGAGAGAAACAAATTTAAAATTATCTTTGATTACTCCGTCAAATTCGCACTCTCCCGACCGATCACTGAGTGATGACCATCTCCGATCATCGGCACAACACTGTAATAGTAGCGCGCGATCATCGTTTCTTCATCGCAACGGGTCAAGCACTATCATACGGGATCCCTCTTGCACATAGCTTTGCGACGAGCATCCTTTTCCACCCTCCCGGCGACCCGCGCCGGCACCTTCGGTCCGGAGTATGTCTTCAAACTTTGCCGAGTCAAGAAAATCGTTTGCCGATAAGAGAGATTTATCGGATGCGACAAAGTAATTTCAAGTTTCGTCGAATTGCGCCGGAGGACGTTCCCGCTCGCTCGAAGTAACCCCTCGACACAACTATCCCCCGCGAAGCTAGCGGAAAGAGGCGCACCGAAAAATCCGTGAGAAAGGTGGTAGTGGGAGTTTGGGCCGAAAGGGAAACGCAGGCCACCCCTGCGTTTCTTCCCTCGTCAAGCTATCCCGGTCGCAGCCAAACCACCACCTTCCCTGGACCCTGACACTACACCGTTGACGTCGACGGCTGGTCGATGCACCGCGACGAATCTCGCGTGACGTGGATCAGGGGTGGGCACGGTATTACCGCGAAAGGGCGCGAGCGCCGCTGGGACGCCGTGGTATGCGACGAAAACCAACCGAACCGATGTAGCCGACACTTCGACCCCCGACAGACTGGCGTCAGGCGACGACGTTCAGCATCGGTTGCGCATGCCCCGCGCAAACGCTCCGGACTCGGCACAGGGCAAGGGCGGAAGTGCACCCCGGCGTGGTCGATACGGCAGGAGGGATCGATCCTCGAACCGACTGGCGAGAGTTGTTGGTTCGAATCCCGGATTGCGAAAACGCCGTACTTTGGGCCGCGTTCAAGCTGATCCCTTTTATTTGAACTACCTCTCTTCTTTTCGGGCTATCCATCACTATTGACTTCTCTCATCTAGTCGCATTTAGTGGAGTACGTTTCAGTGATTAAGCCAATAACCGTTGTACTCGTTTATCAATCATTTTTCCTCGCTGTTACTTTCATGACTCGTAATTACTTCTTTTATTAAAATTTATTGTCGTTACTCCAATCATTGTGTACAATTAGTGATTCAAATCTAGCATCTTATTGTATTGTATTTGTTCATCTTCTTTAATTTGATTCAACATTCTTTTTTTCTGCATAAAAGTGTGTTTTCGAACATTTTGTCTCACCATCTCTCTTCTTCACTATTAAATACTATCGTTATATTATATTTAAAAGAATATTCCATGTGTATATTTCGAGAACACTGCACTTTTTCTGAAGAAAGCACAATGTTTTTTTTTTTTGTATTTCTTTACGGGTAATTAAACACATTAATTTTTTTCATTATGCTACGCACATTGTGGCGTAAAAATTATTAATTTTAATAATTTTCATCATTTTTTTAAATGCCGTATTTGATACATATTTTAGGTTTATTCAACATGTGCATTTACAACTATCTTTCAATTTCATATTGTACATATATAATATTTAATGAATAAAACGGTCTCATCAGTCTGTCATTATCATTTTAACGAAATTATATAGCAAAGCTTATTTATAATATTAATTGATAATTTCTATTACTATATTATAATTAAATAACAGATATTATCATGTTAAATTGATTACTGCAGGATATTTCATTTGCTATGATTAACAAAGCAATTTTTATAACAATTTGAAAAACTAGCGCATACAAATTGCTATATTAATTTTTAAGTAAACTCTCTGAGAAATTAATTAACTGCAAAAAATACATGAACCAATGAGTTTGTTTGTTCTGTAAATCTCAACAAATTAGTGATTACTAAATCAATGCAAAATGTGTAAATGTCAGTTGATAAATAACGATACAATTAATTAGCGGGATTTATTTGACAAGCTCGCTTGCGCGCATAAATCGTGCAATTTTGCAACTCGCAACAAGGAATTCGCGATGGACATTGGAAAATTCAGAAACGGTGAAATAAAGGAACTTTTTAACGAGAATTTCCGGAAACTGAGCGCAGCTGCGCAAAGAGTTTCTCCTTACGAAATACCACAATAGTTTGTGCCTGCATTCAACATCGCTTTCGCACTTTACCGTGTATAGTTATGTTCGTTAACAAACTCTTTTCTAACGCTGAAGTTGTACGAATTATCTCGCTGAATTATTCCTTCCAGAAAATTATGCGATCAAACGAAATTTTTACATTGTCACGTAGCGCGGCGTTTTAATTCCTTGGTTCCTATTGCGTCGTCTCCTATGGTGTCTCATTTGACTTTATATCTACACAATTTCGCACACTATTTTTCAATCATAAAAGATTGTAATTTTTTATTTTCCGACTGAGAAAAGTCCAGTTTTCTGAAAACCTTCCCATGGTAAAAAATCAGTAACAACTTTCTCGCTAAGGTAGATGCGAAGAATAATTGGACGGCGAAGTGGCTAAGGATAAGCCTGGGGAGTGGGAGTGGTTAAATATTTGCAAAGTCAACGCGAGGGGTGCTGTGCCACCTCTCAAAGGGGTGGAAATTGGCCGCCTCCGGCCACAAAGACGCCTAGTGGAAATCCGCGCTGAGAACGTTTTCTCGTTTGCGACACGAGGATACAGCATTTCCAGGACTCCGTCCGTGCAAAAGTTCAAGGATGCCATTGAAATTAGAAACACGCACCAATCTAAATCTCTAAAGATGCAAAGGCTCTAATATTCTTAGAACTATCTAACGATATGAAGAATTACTTGTTAAAAAAAGAGTGAACAGATTGGAAATTAAGATGTTTTTATTTACTCCATAAAAAAGGATTTTAATACATCTGGAAAATTAAAATTCACAAGTGTATCAGAAATAATTTATCTTCAAAAAAAAAAAAAGAAAAGGAGATAAAATCTTATTACTCAAGAAAGAAAGATGTTTAGCCTGATGTTTGTTAAAGAGTTCCTTATAGCAGGAATTCTAACATTAAGTTTAGTCAGTTTTGCAATAATTCTTCAAACAATTTTAAAAATCTCCGTCAATTAAAATTCCAGTCAATTTGTTTAATACGAATTTGAAAAAGAATATGTCAATTTTTGTTATAAAGATCATTTTAATCCCGAAGGGAGTGTTAATATATTGTAAAT